AAACTCTGGTTTCCAATTCCCACGATTTGCAAACCTGAGCAATATATACACTTTGTAAATGGTTTTTATTGCATGTCGCACACATCTATTCATTTTTTAAGAGATTTAATACAAAAACATGTACAGGGCAAACAGTTGAATTAATTCATGTTCACTAGCCAGAGTTAAACTTTTAACAAGTTTTATTATACTCTGCAAGAGTCTTTGTGCTGGGACAAACCCCAACATTTCTTTAAGTTGCATAATTTCTTATGCAGTCAGCATCACTAGATGTAAACATCTCATGTTCATGATTTATCCACTCACTCACCTCTTCTCATGGTTTCTATAGGATATTAAGGAACTGTTCCATCACCAGTGAACACCAAGATGACAGCTGAATGTGGAGACCAAGTACAAATTGTGGAAGATACAACAACTATAGGTTAATGCTTTGGATATGGTATTTTGTAATTATAGGTTAATGCTATGGAGATGGTATTTTGTATGAATATAGTAGGAATCAAGATTGGTTAACAATGTAATTACTTTTGGATCTTCAAGTTTTATGAAATAATTTTTTTTTATATACTAAATAGAAGATTTGGACCTGAATTTATTGTTCAGAATGCATTATGGTTGTTTTTCTAGTTAAAATCGTTGTAGAGCTATTGAAAACTTAAATTATAAAAAATAAAAAATAAATAAAAAACCTAAAATGTAAAATCACGACGTCATTTTTACAATTAATAAATGACGGTTTTTGGAACAAAGCGTCATCTTTAGATTTAATAGACGTCGGTTTTTAAACAAACCGATGTCTTTGGATATAATAGACGACAGTTCTTTAATAAAAACCGTCGTCTATTATATGTAAATAAACAATGCTTTTACTCAAAACCGTCGTCTATTTACATAGAATAGACGACGGTTTTTATTAAAGAACCGTCGTCTTTACATATAATAGACGACGGTTTTGAGTAAAAGCGTCGTCTATTTGCATAGAATAGACGACGGTTTTGAGTAAAAGCGTCGTCTATTTGCATAGAATAGACGACGGTTTTGAGTAAAAGCGTCGTCTATTTGCATAGAATAGACGACGGTTTTGAGTAAAAGCGTCGTCTATTTGCATAGAATAGACGACGGTTTTGAGTAAAAGCGTCGTCTTTACATATAATAGACGACGGGGATTTACCGTCGTGGTTTTATACATCAAAAGATGTCGGTCGATTTCACGACGGTTGAAAAACCAAATACACGACGGTGGATTACCGTCGTCTATTTCAATTTTTGTAGTAGTGTATGACCTTTTCTCTCTCTCTCTGAATACTTGTCAGTCTCCTCAGTATATATTAAGTGAGAATATAATGCCGGTTTGATCACTTCTCAATATTAAACATTATCAGATTAGTATTAGTTAATACGCGGTTACATCAATGTGACTTTAAGATTATAAGTAAGGGTCGTTTTGTTATAATGCAGCCACACAAAACAAAAAGAAAAGAGCAAGACGTGACATAGATGTTTACCTACACTTTGTTCAATTTAGTATATAAAAATTTCAGGTCTTTTCATGTGATTTTCTGGCTCTCCACCAGCTCCAGCCAATGTTTATTTAGCAGATATACCATATGAGCATCATGCTCATCACAGAGATAAAGAAATACAAATGAAACCATTAAGAAAAAGACAAGCAGAAAATGATTTGAAAACAATTTTTCCTTGCTCTTTCTCCTTGTATTATACCCATGCATGTCGCCCCCCAAACATACGTGAAGGTGAATTTCATACTAACAGCTATATTATGGTGGTGGTGCTAACCAAAGGGTATTTTAAAAAATCATTGTTGAGTTTTTTTTTTTTTTTTTTTTTTTTTTGTTTCTAAAAAATCATTGTTGAGTTGGCAGTTATAAACATTGCAAATTAAGGTTGTTGAGTTCTTAGCGTGTAGGTATTGCTCTTCTTATATAATTAACTTGGGACAAAACAAAGGAATAAGTCCATTTTATTTGCGTAATACTATGTAAATTATTAATTAATAAACTATTTGTGTCTAAGTATGTTAATGTTTATTATACAATAACAAAGTTGAAGGGAAATCAGGAATCAAATTATAATAATCATCAAAACTATAATTCACAAACCCTAAACCCGACTATACTTTTAAAATAAATGCGCGGCTGTACTCTTATTTATTCGATATTTTACAAGTATAGCCGCACAGCTACACTGTTTAGTAGAGATGATACACCACACTGCAAGCAACACCAAAACAGTCTGCCCACATGTATGGAATAATACTTGGAGGGAGATGAAAATTAAAAAGAAAACATAAATATAGTCAAATACTGATAATGAGCAGATGTTAACTATTTAAACACGGTTTGAATTGCTACTTATAAAACAATAATTAATTGATTTAAAAACTAATGTAAGACTCTTTTTTTTTATTTTTTATGGAGATACAAAATTGGGATAAGAGTCAAAATTCATGTACCAAAAATTTATTAAAAAAAAAACCCACCAAGTTACATATATATGTTCAACATCATGATCTCATTGTATTGAAATTTGTCGTTGTTCTTCTTCTTGTAGGGATGAGTTAGTCCACAAGAGTTGATCCACTTGGGCAGAAGACAACAACAAAATAGAATTTTACATAATATTTTGACAATTCTTATTGTGCTAACCGCTGAAGCCTTAGACATACACACGATAGCAGGCTTAGAGCCTTAGACAATAATATGAAACTGCCCTCTCTATTTCTCAACTTAGAAGTGTGGAAAAGCAA